GTGCTTCTGTTTTGTTTAGACAACGCATGAGGCATCGTTTGACAGCCAAACTCTAGTTTTTATGATTGTGTTTTAATCCTCGTGACATCGCCGATCCATTCTTGTCTCAACTCGTGTGGTAATAAAAAGTTAAATTTTGCACCGCTGGTCGTTGGTTTTTTTTTTTTTTTTTCCCTTTCTTCTTTCCTTTTTTCTCCTCTGTTTCTAAGACTTCCCCTGCATATTTTCAAAATAGCATTTAAATTTATTTTTCTATCAGATTTAGTTTTTTTTTTTATTATTATTATTTTTTTTTATTTTAAATTATTCATGCATTTAAAATTTTCTTTCATTTTAATTTTCCTTTCATTTTTTCACCTTTTAAATTTAATCTCTATTATTTTAATTTTAATTTTTTTATTTTTAATTATTCTCTTAACTAAATTATCTTTTTAATTACATCCCTCAATATTTTATATTTTTCTTTTAATTAAATTATTTTTTTCAATTTTATCTCTTAATTTTTTAGTTCATTTTGTTTTATATTAAATTTGATTCCTATTCTTTTAGTTTATTTTTTTATTTGAACTTTTTTTATTAACTTCATTCCTCAACATTTTATTATTTTTGATATTTTTTTTATGTTTTTTTTCAATAATAGATTTTTAATATTTTTATATCAGTGTAGAATTATTATAATCTCATATGTATAATCTCATATGTATCAGGTCATGAATTTTTTTATGTTAATCCAACTTTATAGGTAATTATTTTTTATTTATTTATTATTATTATCTAATTTTTTATTATATTATAAAATTAATTAAGATTTAACATCATTATCTATTTTTTTATTTTTTTAAAAACCCAACCATCTCTTGAAAGAAAACATGTCTGGTCTGATCTTTATTGTCGCGCGGGCCACATTCTAGTGCATTAAGGCAGAGAAAATTCATACCTTATATATATATATATTCAATTGAAAAATCACATTCTCTCTTCATTTATGAATAATAATAAATGGAAAACAGAAAGCTTTCATGTTAAAGAAGAAAAAAAACTTTGATATTTTATTTTCAAAATATTGTTCCAATAGATTTATGGCTATGCCAATAGCACCAGTTCAAAACACAATATATATGGTCGCTTGTAACAACTTTTATACCCTACTTAATTGTTATTGTGTATTGCTTGTGCTTCCACTTGTGTTAATTACCCTCCAAATCTTCCCTGAAAAAACTTATTAACCCTTCCAAGTCAAGAAACTATAATCTTCATATTTGTCCAATTAAAAAATAATTTTACAATGAAAACCTAAATAAGATTAGTTTTTATATCTTCCCCCTTTCAATTTCAGTTTATTATAGAAAATGTGTTGAAAACAAGATAATTTTATGTGTTTATTCTGGTTGACATTAACTCTGTTGAAGTAACTCACAATGAAGATGTAAATAATCCTTTTTTTACAAAAATAAAAATTTAAAAAGTTTTAACCTTTCAAGACTTGAGCCCGTGTCCCTAAACCTTGAAAGATTTTCTAAAAAGTTTTAACCTTTCAAGACTTGAGTCCGTGTCCCTAAACCTTGAAACTACTAACCTCAAAGATCTAATTATTTTGATTATCAACGAGCTTGGTTTAATTTTTTTTTTTCCTAAGAAACTATGACCATTTGTGGTTCATCTATTTTGATTAAAAAAAATTGTCCCAAAAATTTACCAACTTGATTCTCAAACAATTATTGGAAATATTTTTCTTTTATAAGTGAAATCCTCCCATAAAAAATCACACAATGATTGGAATTATTTATAGCAAAAAAACCTTCAAATTCAATTCCCGTTTCTTTGTATTTCATCTCAACCTTTAGTGTCTCATGCTATCTTGGAATTTCATTATAATGCGTGATGTAAATAAAAATATTAGTTACTCTTCAGATCTCATGAGAAACATCGAAGTCAAATAGTGGATCCCAATTCAGAGAAACTCAAGCTTATTGCATGTATGCTTGACTGCAATCTCAGTAACAAACTCCATAGCTACAAGAATTCCTCTCAACTCCAACTTAAAAAAGACAATTTACGTTTCTCTAACCTCTAAAAATCGAATTCAAGTAAACCTTAGCATCATCAAGGTCAAAGGCAGAATACAAGAGAACACTCAAAGAAACCTCGTACGAAATTTCAAGTTAATTTTGATGAGGATAAATTCGCTAACGAAGATCCAGATTATAATCCTGATTCTCTGTGTGTGTGGTTGTGTGTTGACGTCATCCTTACCTAAACATCCATCCACTTCAATTATTCAAAAAGTGCTTATCACGTTATCACGTCATCCATGACATATTTTCAACTTCGAGCAGAATTTAATTAGTTTAAAAGTTCAAAAAGCCTAATATAAATAAATAAGTCTTTCATGTGCTCTAAACGCATGGCAAATTCATACCTTACATATATTCAATTGAAAAATCAACACTTTCTCTTAATTTATGAATATTAATAACGAAAAAGAAGAAGAAGAAGAAAGCTTTCATGTTAAAGAAGAAAAAAACCTTCACATTCCATTTCCAAAATGTTAGGCCAATAGATTTATGGGTATGCCAATAGCACCGGTTCAAAAGACATTTCTATGGTCCCTTTGTAACAACTGCTATACCCTACCATTTAATTACATAAAAGTAAGAGAAATGCTAGTGTTTGTTAGCAGGATCACATCAAAAAATAATTGCAAATTTTTCAAAACTTAGCATCAGCTGATGGCCCATGAACTTGTCTCGCACATGGTTCCGACAATTATTAGATGTCCCATTGGAAAACGCTGCATGAGTGCTTGCATTATTTATATTAAAAATAAATTTTTTTAAAAATATTATTTTAATATATTTTCAAATAAAAAATATTATAAAAAACAACATCACACACTAAAATAAATGTTCCTGCCTGCAAACGAACAAAGAGGAAACGATAGAATTGGCAAGGACCTTTATCCAACCAGTTTGCCAACTGTAAGCAATTAGTGCGCACAGTATCAAAATCAGCGTCATGTGAAGACCTAAGTCTTCACAAAAACAGCAAGTCAATGAAAGAAAGCTAGCCTCTCACTCCATATCCAGAGTTTGAAGCATTCTTAGCAGTGACGTTTATTTATTGCACTTCAAACTCTGTAACAGAAGGGTACTGACAGGAAGAGATGAGGCCTAACGTAAGTATTGAATTCCTCTGGTGGCTCTCTTTAACAATCCTGCTGGTTTCGGTGATCACATCTACTTCTACAGCTGCCTTTCTTGAAAGCAACTCGAGTCCCATTTTCAATGCCACAATCGGTGAAGGTAATGAAGAGGAGTTCTCTATGGAATCTGAAGTGCATCAGAGACTACTGGCCTATAAGGGTAAGTATATTAGTTATAAGGGTATAGAACAACAACCAGTTTGCAATGCACGCATATATGGCAACTGTGCAAAACCGATCAATGGTAACTCTCGGCCTTGCACTTACTACAATCGGTGCAAACGTGGTCATTGATCGAGGAACAGGGGACAAAGGGGTCAGTTCTTTATCAGTCTGAGAATTTCGATTTGAATAGCCACCCATAAAGCGCAAGGTGACCCAGTCCCTCTATGTGAGCTCCACCAAGATGGATGGATCAGTTTGCTCAACGTTTAGGGCGACTGTCTGAATCCTTCTTCTTTCTTTTTACTCATGTTTCCGATGAGCATAACAATAAAATTTGTATGTACTTTATGATGATTTATAATTGAAGAAAATAGCAAGCAATTGCTTTGTCGATACGATGTCTAGTGATTGTCTTTTTCGTGCACTAATTAATGGCGAAGCTTCCTCATTAATCTATTGCAAGCTATGAATTTGAAAAAAAAGATCTTGGAATGTTCACAGGTTTGCTTAAGGTGTCCTGTTTGTACAAGATAAGAACATCTGCTAGATCTGTTCATTGTAGAAGACTTGGATTTTCCTTAGGATTGAAGTGATTTCAGCATGATATTTTCAACAATGAAACTCAATCTCATTTCATTTATTATTCCAATTATTTTTCATCCGCCGAGAACTCCATTCAGTTTCCCCTCATGTACGGAAATCAAGCTTAACAGGATGAGAGGGAACAAATTGCCATCTCCAGGGAAGAGAGGACAGCTTGCCTCTTCTTCACTAGTGTTATTGATTTCATTCGGCATCAAGTATGTCCAGAGGTAAATCCATAAGTCTTAGATTAATGGGAAGAAAGATTTCTCATTAAGCAAGTTTTGTAGTAAGCGATTAATATACCAGATGAGAAGATTTTTGGTTATAAGCTCAGCCCAAAAAGGCACAATCATGAACCAAAAAGGAATAGGTCGATCCTTTGAGCCTCCTATTAGTTCCTGTGTAAATTTTTTTATATATATAAAACCAAAAACAAGAGTATTTTATCAGTAAGACATCATTGAAGAAGAATAATAGGAGTAAATGAGACTTCATGGATCTGAGGCGAGTCAAAGGGCTACTCATGAGGAACAAGAACGATGTTTCTTATTGAAGACTGAAGCAAGGCCAGCCTATAATGAAGATGCGTGTGTATTGGAAAGAAGGCATCGGTGAGGATTATATAGGCCTTGCACTTGCGACAATCATTGTAACAAGGCGGTGACCATAAGGAAAAAGAAGCGTTGCACCTTTCGAGGCCTAATCTCGGAGCTGTGATTACTGCATTTGTTATGGTGAACACCAACCTGAAATACATTCAACCTCGTTAAGAATATTAATCAAATAAGAAATTAAGTGGTGTGTGTGATCTTAATCCAACAATTAACATGTTAAGGAAAAAAGAAAAGCAAAATAAGTTTCATAGAAACCGAGTACTTTCAAGTCAATACTAACATCAACGAAATGGCAACTAGTGTGTTGAAATTAGACTATTCATGGCGTCTTTATTGCAGAATTCAGAACCACACAATGGAAAGCAGCCATCCAAAGCTGACCAAGTACAGAGAGCAACATGTCCCATTAGCCAAATCATCGAATTTTCTACTCTCCCGGGCTTCAAATATATTATTGGATTATTCTCAACTTGAGCAAATAAGCTACTGTATGGAGACAAAAACACCACTGATCATCTTCCCTTAAATCAAAATCTTTGCATTTAATGCATAGGTTTTCTTCCTCCAATTTATTCCACAAAAGAAATAGCATAATGTCCATCTTCATCGCTCTCTCCCTTCTCCCTCCCCTCCATCTCTTCCTCTATGTTGCTGCTACTGAAGATTACTTGCTGCCATACAGCCCCACTGATCAAATACTCCTTAACTGTGGTGCATCCTCTAATTTGACATCTCCAGATGGTCGTAGTTGGGATGGTGATTCCCAGTCTAAGTTTGCTGCCTCTAATCCCCCAGAAGCCTCATCTGTGTTTGCAGCCTCCACTCAAGGCCCCTCTGGCGACCAAGTCCCATACATGACAGCCCGTATTTTTCACTCTAAATTCACTTACACATTTCCGGTCTTGCCTGGCCCAAAATTTGTGCGTCTCTACTTTTATCGAGCTTCTTACTCAAATCTTGATATATCCACATCCTATTTCTCGCTTAGTGCCAACAACTACAAGCTACTAGACAACTTTAGTGCCTCTCTTACTGTTTCTGCTACAATACCTCCAGTGGACTCCTTCACCAAAGAGTTCATCATCACCGTGTGGGACAAACAGAAGCTTGAATTAACCTTCGCTCCGTCTCCAGCGTCTTTTGCCTTCATTAATGGTATCGAAATCGTTTCCATGCCAGACAGCTTCTATGCTCGTGGCAATGATAATTCACTGACCTATGTGGGCACCGCCCCCTTCTCTCTGTATAACACAACTGCGCTTGAGACAATTTATCGACTGAATGTCGGGGGGCAAGATATCAGCAGCACAAGGGATACGGGCATGTACAGGACATGGCATCAAGATTTAGAGTATCTCATTGGACAATCTGGAAACACTCCATATCTCCCAGGCGTTAAGATAAAGTACACAACCAAAACGCCAGCTTACTCCGCACCTGTTATGGTATATAGTACTATGCGTTCAATGGGTCCTGAACCACGTCTTAACATGAATTACAATCTCACGTGGATCTTCCCAGTTGATGCTGGTTTCCTTTATCTCCTTAGACTCCACTTTTGTGAGACTCGAATGGAGTTCAAAAATGAAAATCAACAGGTATTTTTAATATTCATCAACAATCAAACAGCAGCGTATGATGCAGATGTGATCCATATGAGCGGGGGCAACGGCATTCCAGTTTACAAAGACTACATCGTGCTGGTCCCTCAAGGGAGCCAGAGCAAGCAGGACTTGTGGCTCGAACTACACCCTAACATGGAACTGAAACCTACTTATGCTGATGCAATCTTGAATGGCTTGGAAATATTCAAGCTGAATACAACAGACGGAAATCTTGCAGGATTCAACCCTGAGCCAACAGTGGCTCCTCCACCAGCAGAACAACATCCAGAGAGAAGAACGGGCAAAAGATCATCAATAATTATGGTTATAGGCATCGTTGGAGGTTCCATAGGCACAGTATTTGCTTGCTCTCTTATTCTTTATTTCTTTGCTTTCAAGCAGAAGCGAGTCAAGGACCCTAGCAAGAGTGAGGAAAAATCCTCCTGGACTATTATATCACAAACATCTAAGTCCACGACTACAATCTCTTCATCACTACCTACTAATCTTTGCCGACGGTTTACATTTTTCGAAATCAACGAAGCAACAGATAACTTTGATGATCAAAATATTATTGGTTCAGGGGGATTTGGTACTGTGTATAAAGGATACATTGAATACGGTGCAGTAGCCATCAAACGACTAGATTCATCATCAAAGCAAGGGACACGTGAGTTCCAGACAGAGATTGAGATGTTATCCAATCTTCGCCACCTCCATCTAGTGTCACTGATTGGGTACTGTGATGATCATGACGAGATGATCCTTGTATACGATTACATGTCAAGAGGCACCCTTAGAGAACATCTATACAAAACAAAGAACTCTCCTCTTCCATGGAAGCAAAGGCTAGAAATATGCATCGGTGCTGCAAAAGGGTTGCATTATCTTCATTCAGGAGCAAAGCACACAATCATTCACCGTGATGTGAAGTCAACAAACATATTGTTAGATGAGAATTGGGTGGCTAAGGTTTCAGATTTTGGGCTGTCCAGATTGGGTCCCACTAGTACATCCCAAACCCATGTTAGCACTGTAGTTAGAGGTAGCATTGGATATGTGGATCCAGAGTACTACCGTAGGCAACACCTAACAGAGAAATCTGATGTTTATTCATTCGGTGTGGTTTTGTTTGAGGTGCTATGTGCAAGGCCACCAGTGATTCCAAGTTCACCGAAAGAGCAAGCAAGCTTAGCTGAGTGGGCACGAAGATGTTACCAAAGAGGAACCCTTGATCAGATCGTGGATAAGGGCGAGGTTGCCCCTGTCTCTTTAAATAAGTTTGCAGAGATTGCTAACAGTTGCTTACATGGCCAAGGAATTGAACGCCCTAAAATGGGTGATGTCGTTTGGGGCCTTGAATTTGCATTGCAGCTTCAACAAACTGCTGAGAAAAATGCCAACAGTGTAATGGTCCTAATTTGCATTTCTCATAAAATTGATAAATATATGATTCGCAGCTTGCTAGCATTAGATCATGTCTATGTATATAAATAGTAGCTTCAATTTGTTATAAGTGGAACTGGTGCCACTGTAGAATCCTGAGCTTGTGTTTTGCATATATCCATTATATTGTTGTAGTTTGATGTTATGCAAACTTAAGGTTAGCATGCGGTCACTCCCAAGCAACTGATGGTGTAGAAACACATTAATTCAGACTATTAAGGGTTTGCATTGCTCATAGATATTGATATTCCTCAATCGAATTTTCTGTGAAAAATCAGTGTTCCAAACACATACAGTGCCCCCAGATAAACCTTCAGAATACAATGCCTGCCAGCTCCTATTAGCATTTCCCAAATTGGATTTATCAATTTATCATTCAAAGTCTCCACTAAACATAAATTTAACATGATGCATTCTAATTAGATTTTGAGCTGGTCTACGCTATTCTCATGCATTAGATTACTATTCCTGGTATTCCAAACTAGCACTTACAGATTGATAATTGCACAACCAGAAAATAGAAAAATCAAGTAATAGTTATTGCTCATTCCAATATGTTTTTCATTCCATAATTCTATCACATTACAGCAACCCATGATGGGGTTGTGTTCTCTCGTATATTTTCAGGTTTTCCTACACCCTCCTCAATATTTTCGAAACTCATTTGAGTATCCTTCAAATTTTGACAATCGATATTGTCTGCCTTTCTCAGCTTTGTAGTGTTTTTCTTTTCTTCTTTTATTCAGGAAATATAGACTTTTTATTATAATCATGTCTTAAGGATACTTTCTTTGTAAACTACCTTAGACGAAGTCTATACTATTCGATTGGATACTGCCAAAGACTTTGTATTATAATCATGTCTTATGGGTACTTTCTTCGTAAACTACCTTAGACGAAGTCTATAATATTCGATTGGATACTGCCAACGACTTGGAAGTCTTGCATGAGCTGAATTGCGATAGCATCAGCTTTCACCTCATTAATTCTAATTTTTTTTCTTAAACACACATCCTTCACGGTATGATTCATAAGCACATCTATTTTTGTTACCTTCTCGTGGAGATCACTAATTAAAAATTTTGCATTTAAATCTTTTTCTTTACCGTCATTTCCATCATCCTCATCAATTTTTGGTATTTGATTCCGGTTCACAAAAGAACTAGAGTTATCAAAATTTTTAATTTCAATATTATATTTATCTTGTTCAAAAAACTATTTTTTTTGTTCATATTTTTAAAATAAATTCTCAAAATTAAAAATTAACTATACATCCATGATCACTCTTCTCAAGATATCCTAGGCTCCTTACCTCCGCCAACTAATGGGTTAATATTGCAATTTGTTTTTGCATGTCTTATATCATCTGAATATCTCTTTTCAATTTTATAATTTATTTTTATATGTCTTCTATCACTATCTTTTGAAAGTCTCTTTCTTAAAAGAAATCTTTTTATCTCCTCCTACACGAGCATGTTTTATTTTACTATCTCTTTAAATCGTGGTTATTCTAGCACATAGCAAGCAAATAACCATTAGTATCATTGAATTTTAATATCAACTAACATAAACGGAAACATAAACAAACATTAAAAAAAATCTATAAAGACAACCACTAGTATCATTGAAGTCAAATAAAATTATTACACAAAACCCTAAATTATAATTTTATTACTGAATATTTTATGTTCATGTTATTTTCCTTACTAAGAGGTTTAAATAAACTTAAAAACTAACCTAAACAAGCTAGAAACCTAAAAATAAAAAAAAAAGTAATAAAAATTCTAAATAAACTAGGAAAAATAAAAATATTAAACATAAAATTTAAATTCTTACACTAAATAGAAAAAAATAATTAATAAATAATTTTTCCTAAAAAATCCTCCTTGTAGGAGCTATTTATTGCTTAGTGTTAGAAATTGTGAAAGGGGTTAAATTTTATTAAAATTCAATTTTCTATTTGAAGGTTTAGGTCAATTTAGTGTTTCAAGATATGTTGTTGGGTTAGGAATGGAAAACGAGGAACTTATATACAAAATATATTCTTAATCTATCACTTTAAACTTTTTAAATTGATAATAGAATATGATGGATACAAATAAAATGGACCTGAAAAATCCCCCAAAATAGACCTAAAGAAATCCCCTAAAAGAGAAAAAAGCTTAAAAAACACCAACGAACATGAGCTTAGACATGATAGCCCGAGCCCACACACTAAGAACATGGACTCGAGCAAGTAAGCCATGCTCCCTGCATGGGCGTATGAACGCCCAATGCATGGGTATTATGCAGTGCATGTACGCTCAGTGCACCCCAATATCTGTACAACCATGCAGGGTGTACACTCAAATGGTGCTAGGCATGCATCTTATAGCCCTCATGGGCACGTGTTGTCATGCCTAAGCTTAGTTTGTTTGGGTTTAAATAGTGTTCTTGAACCCATTTTCACCTCTAATAAGCTCGGATACTTTATTCGAGCCCAACACTCGCTAGAGAATTTTTTCTAAACCCCACTTAGGTCTCTCGATATTTTATATTGATCAAATACATATTATTTTGAGTAGAAATATGACTCAAAATATCACAATATTAAAATTACACTTCAGCTTATTCTCTCCACAAAAGGATAAGATTCATGAGTTATATAAATACACCATGAATCCTTCAAGTCAAAGGTTCACAATTTCTTTATTTTCTACTGCGTATATATTTTCAAAGTATCTTTTTCTAAAATATTATTGAATTTTCTCTCTTTATAAAGTTACTGACTTTACCATTGAAGAATCCCCATGTCCATTAAAGGGAACTTTTTGCAAGTACCAGCTACTGGTCACTAGGTTTACTAGACATCACTTGCTGCTAGTTACCAACCCTCTAGGCTTTTCATATCAAATCACCAAATACATTAACTATGAAGAATTGATTAGATTGCCTAAACTAAGGGATCAACTACTTATCCAACACATCAGCCTTATTCTTAAGCACGTTGAATTGTAGGACTCATGAGAATCCATAGTTACCTATAAGCATATGGATCCAATACAGACTTACATAGCTACCATGTGTCTCCCTAAACTTAAGAATTAATGCTCCATTATTTATATATAAATGGGCCTCTAATGACTTGTTTATACAATTTACTTGTGCTTTATGTTATTTTTTATCATTTCAATTTAGTACTTACTAGTTATATGACTTATGTTTTGTTACGGGTCAAATATTTTTATTTTCTATAAAAACATTATATAAGCAGGTTTTTTCTACACATTTCTTTAATTTAAAAAATTAAAGTATGGGTCAAAAAGTTTATACATACATGTAATTAAATAAACTGAGAATTATATGTGCTAATAAATAAATAAAAAGTCATTAACGATACCTAAACATAAAACTTGAAAAATCAAGAGATAGGTATAAATCAAGATATTTAATCTTGCAAGACGGGATAGTTACATGATTATGTTTACTAAATTTTGTTTATTGCAATGTATTTTTATTCAATCAAACAATAATAGAAATGGACAAACATATTAAATTGATTGAATAAAAAACATTATGCAAGACTACACATATTAGAAATATTATTTGAAAATAAATATTTTTTTATTTTCAAAAATATATTTCATCTATACAAAAGATAAAAAAAAATTATAAATAAATCAAAAAAACCTCTTCAAAAATTAAAAACATAACAAAAAAAAATAATCATCATTTAAAAGAGATTCTTCAAGCAAAATAAAAAAAAAGGAAAGAGGTATTAATCTAAATATACATAATTTTTTATTTTACAAAAAAAACATAAAAATAAGGATTAATAAAAAAAAAATAGGGAAAAAATAAGGTGTACTTGGAGTGGATGACATATTGTCAACCCTTATTAAAAAAAATAAATCAGATGGCGTGCCACCTATTGAGACAAACAACGCATCATCTGATCTTGTCCAGATTCTAACCATTAAGGTGGTTAAAAAATTAAGGCCTAAAGTTTTTTACTTAAAAACATATTTTGATCCAAAACACTTATAAAAAACCTTAAGAATCATGATAAACTTATTCACAACCTAAAAAACCAAGAAACCCTCCAAAAAACAGAAATGAATATGTAACCAAAAATCATTTCAAAATCATATTTGTTTTTTCACGAACTTTAAACGTAAGAAAAACACCTAATATGAACTCTCCTAGTTAAAAGAAACCATTTAACACAAATATCATCCATTTATGTGACCTAAATTAGTGTCAATGGCATGATTTTTTCTATACCATTAGAATCCAACGACCTCTCTCTCATCTCTCAACCAATGACTAAAAAATAATAAAAATAAATTTTTGTACCAAAATTAAATTAAAAAATATTGAGATATCAAAATTGTATAATCTGTGTTTTTATAAATTCAAGGACCAAAGTGCATCATTTTCAAAACTTAAAGCACGCAGCCATGTTTGGTGTCTTTTTCATTTAAATCCCTCTTATTTCAATCTCACTTTTTCATTAGAGATCAAAATCAATTGGTGTTCAACTAGGACTAAATCATTAGGGGGGGAAAGGTTAAGAACCAAATTGAAAAACAAATAAATTTTGGAAGTCAATTCGTAATAATATATGAGAAAATAAACAATAAAATCATTCATAATAAAAAACTCATACCTTTTAGTTTTACACTTAATGTTGTAGTTAGTTTATCACTTCAATGAAACATAAGAAAGAAGAAATGTGCAGATTGTTTCAATCTTTCGAACCCAAAGCGTGAGAACATTTCCAAGCATGAATCCCAAATCTCATTATCCACTTATGTTCATTGCTCCCTAAAATCACTATGGATGATATGCATTACCTTCTGACATTACATACAAAAATCACATCGTGATTCATTGAATCCCAGCACAAGAACTGTTAGCTACATCACAATCCAACATCACCATCTAATTATCCAAGCTGGAAGCCAGTAATGTGAAATCACCTAAGCATTGTTGACAAAGTCAACAATGTTAAGCACCGATTAGTGCTGCAAATTCAACATTGTTGGGCACCAATTCGATGCCACTTGCAGCACCAATTGCTGCCCTTGATTCATGTATGGATATTTGCCTATAAATAGGCAAAGCATCCAAGCCTCAATACAATAACTTAAGAGAGAAAAATTAAGAGCAAGTAGAGAGAAAGAAGAGAGGGTGAAGAGAGAGAATCCCATAAAATTGTGAGGTATTTATGAGATAGTAAATGAGGTGTTTTCTCCTATTATTAGAGATATTTCAGTTATTCTCCTATTAATAGAGAAAGGTTGTAATTCCCACATTATTTAGTAAAATTATTCTATACTTGCTTGTGGACGTAGCCCAATTGGGTGAACCACGTAAATTCTTGTGTGTCATTTCTCATTTTATCTTGTCCCTTTATCTTTTTTTATCTTGTCGGGTTTGCATGCCAGTATCCTAATAGTGGTATCAGAGCCTTCTAGTAGGTGTTGTTAATACACAAAAGTTATTCATGTATACGGTTACTATTCATGTATACGACACTATTACCTATACGACACTATTCATCCATACTGTATTGTTCACATACGTTACTGCTGGCATATATAGAAAGTCAGTACGGTGATTAAATACAGTCTAGGAAGTTCTGTCTAAGGAGATTGGGTTTTAAGCGGGACCGTTTGTGACCCCTCCAATCTTTCCTAGGAACTTACTTAGTGAAGTATTATTCATACGATACTATTTCTATATACATTATAGATCTATAAAACGGTGATAGCTGAATAGATGTTGGTGAATACAATGGCAGCAAAGTACGAGATTGAGAGGTTTAATGAGAGCAATTTCTCATTGTGGAAAATGAGAATCAAGGCAATTTTAAGGAAAGACAATTGCTTGGCAGCAATTGGAGATCGACCCGCGGAGATAATTGATGATGCAAAATGGAATGAGATGGATGGCAATGTTATTGCTAACATACATTTAGCATTAGCCGATGAAGTTTTATCAAGTGTTGCGGAGAAGAAAACAACTAAGGAGATATGAGAGACTCTAACAAAGCTATACGAGTCCAAGTCTTTGCACAATAAGATTTTCTTAAAGCGGAGACTTTATACCCTTCGAATGGCAGAAACCACATCGGTGACTGACCATATCAACACAATAAGAACTCTATTTTCACAACTCACTACATTGGGTCAGCAAATAGAGGAAAATGAACGTGCAGAGCTTCTACTTCAAAGTCTTCCTGATTCGTATGATCAACTCATTATCAACTTGACAAATAATATCCTCTCAGATTATCTAGTCTTCGATGATGTTGCAGCCGCTATCTTGGAAGAAGAAAATAGGCGCAAAAACAAAGGAGACAGAAACAGTTCAAACCAAGCAGAGGCATTATTGGTGTCAAGAGGAAGATCAACGGAGCGTGGCTCTAGTGGGAGTCAAAGGCAGGGGAGGTCCAAATCAAGAAGTAAGAAGGCTGTGAAATGCTACAACTGTGGCAAAAAGGGGCACTTCAAAAAGGATTGTTGGTTTAAAAGGGGCATAGAGAATACTGCAGAATGGACAATTTGATAGTTTTGGCTGTAAGATCCAAACAGAAAATGAAATCATGAAAATCATCAAAGAAGCGCAGTTGGTTTTAAAGGCAAGAAAGACGGTTGCAAATGTATTTGCATTAATGGGAGAAACACATCATGAGGCAGAAGCGTCAATCGCATCAGCCAGTTCTACATAAGAGAAGATGAAGATATGGCATCAAAAACTAGGTCACATGTTAGAGAAAGGTTTAAAGGTTCTCTCTTGTCACAAGTTACTCCCTGGGCTTACAAAGGTTACTTTACCTTTTTGTGAGCACTGTGTTACAAGTAAACAACACAGGTTGAAGTTTGACATATCTACAACTAAGAGCAAATGCATCTTAGACCTGATTCACTCTGATGTATGGCAAGCACCGGTTATATCCTTGGGAGGAGCAAGATACTTTGTATCATTCATAGATGACTTCTCCAGGAGATGTTGGGTGTATCCAATTAGAAGGAAGGCAGATGTGCTTATAGTCTTTAAAACTTTCAAAGCGCGGGTGGAACTTGAATCTGAAAAGAAGATCAAGTGTTTAAGGACT